CTGCCTTTTATTTTTTTCCTCTCATCTAGATTCTGGAAGATTGAACTGAGGTCCTCCTACTGGACTCTCTTTCTCAGCCTTTACAGATGTTTCCTGGACCTTCATCTGACCACCAAGGGTGTTTTCTAGGTAGGCCACAACTCCTCTGAACCTCTGTTCTGGTTTATTCCATCAGGATATATGGCGAGATGGACATCATGTCTGCAGCCACTCAGCATCCAGCAGTGGTGGGAGACTCTGTTCCAGAAGCTCAACACGTCCTATCCAAAGATGACTTTCTGAAGTTGATGCTTCCCGACAGTCCCTTAGTGGAGGAAGGAAGACGGAAGGTGAGTGATCCTTCGTGAGGACCTTGAGTCACCAGGAGCACCTGCAGTCAGTCTGAAGCAACTGTGGGCGCCACGGTACTTCTCCTCAAGCATCCTGTGGTCCCGCCAACAGTCCAGGACAGAGTGGCCGTTGTCACTGCCAGAATTTGGGCCTTTTTTCCCCCAGACGGTGTTTCTCTGTGTAGCTCTTGCTGTACTAGAACTCGCTCTGTGGACCAGGCTGGCCTAGAACTCACAGAGATCCACCCGCCTCTGCCTCCTGGGTGCTGGGATTAAAGGTGTGCGCCACCACTGCCCCAGCTTAGTTTTTGGTTTGTTCTGTGTTTTAGTACTGAGGTTGGAACTCTAGGACTTTGCATTCTAGGCAAGAGCTGCAGCCCCACTCTGCAAGTCCTTCAGATGGCAAGCAAACCTGGGGAGGCCAGGGTGGGAGCTTTGCAGTCTTGAAGGTGCTCTGCAAACCAGGTAGGCTCCCCTAAGGACTCAGCTCCAACTGTGACCTGCTACATGAGCTTATGCAAGTGGCCTCTGTATGCTGATGGGATAAAAGAGTGTGACGACAGCTGTCTTCCAGGTTCAGGGCTGTGCTAGCAGTGACACATAGGAGCCTAGCACAGTGCCTAGACGTGACTGGCAACAGACCTTAGCCAGTGAAGTTCACACTTATTAACTAACCCAGGCCCTTCAGCCTGTACCCTGCCCAGGTCTTCCTGGAAGGCTGTCTGTTCCAAAAGTGAATGGGAGCGAGTCACAGTCCCACTGTGTAACCTTGTGTTCTGCCTTCCAAAGCTGTGGAGCTCAGAGCGACAGTACTGTACCATCCTCCTGCTCAGCACACCTTCTCAAGAAGGGAATTCACTGCTCTTTGCTTTGCTCTCCCCAAGTTCCCTCCCTTCCTCCCTCCCTCCCTCCCCCACCTATCTGTGTGTGTGTGTGTGTGTGTGTGTGTGTGTGTGTGTTTTGTAAGCCCGTTTTTAAAATGATGCAAAATAGGAGCTACCAGGATGGCTTAGCAGCTGAAGGTGCTTGCTGCTGAGTCTGATGTTACAAGTTCTGTTCCTCGGGCCCACATGATAGAAGGAAAAAGTAGATGCCCCCAAGTTACCCTCTGACCTCCATATATGTACCATGACATATATGTGCCCCACACACCATAAATAAATGAGTGCAACAAAACAATTCTATAAATTTTTGCAAAGTATTAAAAGATCCTAAATAAGTTTAGCCAGTCACTTCTGTTTACTAGACCCTGAGACTCCGGTGGTGGAATATGATGCGTGCCCTAATATTTGGTACCAGAACAGAACCCCTCTTTCACTTGTAATCTAAGCTTCTTTGGTTTAAGTGGGAGAGTAGGCTGTTGCCTGGGATGGCAGTGGGCAGCCAGCTGTGTGCTAGGTTCCCGTTTGCGAACAGCACACCGTGAGCTGGCTTGTGTTCCCAGAGCAGCACCATCAGGCATCCCCGTCCACTTTCATCTAAGCACCTACACTCAGCTATAAAGATCTCGGAGGGATATGGAAAGGGAATCTCACCAGAGGCCTCACGGTGAGCCTTCTTCCAGCTTGTATCAGATCCAATTAGGGGCCTGCGTGTGCTTGGGTTCAAGGGTGGATGGCTCCACAGCATGCAGCGTCTCAGAGCTCCATGTGTGTGCTTCAAAGATAAATCACTTCCTTTTCCCAGTACAAGTGGGCTTGGCAGCTCACACACATGCCAGCTGCTTTCTTCACCAGAGAGGCCAGACAGAACGAGGAGAGCACTGGCGATGGGAAGATTCCGAGGCTCCTTGCCACATCCAGAATGTTAATACCCACCTCTGGATGTATCAGAAACGAGTGTTCTAGAAACGGCATTTACACGAGAGGAAAATGGTTTAGAATGCCAAAGAAGGGGTGGTGATTCAGACCAGGTCTAACTTGTCATGAATCCTTGCTTCCCTTGTTGGGATGTGTTTTGCTGTGCCTGAGATTTGACACCCAGTGACGTCAGTGCTTTCCTTAGAGTTGGCTGTCCTTGGTTCATTTCTCTTGCACTTGTTTGTTTTGTTTTGTTTTTCAAAAAGGCAACTGAGAAGAAAAAAGATTTATTTCGTCTTACAATTTCAGATTACAGTCTATAAATGTGTATAGTCAAGGCAGGAGCTTCAGAGAGGTGGGCACATTGTGCTTGCTTGTGCTCAGCTCAGCTTCTCCACTCTACTGCGTACTGTCCAGGAGCCCATGCTGAGGGCATGCCGAGGGAATGGTGTCGCCCGCAGTGGGCTGGGCCATCCCATACACATTCCACAGGCTAACCCAAAGTGGATATTTGAGACACTCTTCCCAGGTGATTCTAGATTTTGTCAGTTGACAAAGCTGACCCTCGCAATAGTTTTGTTCCATTGATTGTAATTTAGTTTTCAACAATTACAGCACAGACTTTGTAAGTGGTCATTTTTAAGTGGACAGCTGAATTTACTGGATTTAAACTACTTTTCTGGAACCCATTTATATGGCTCAGAAGATGTCAGTGTTTAGACTCAGGTGGTCCTCGTGTCAATTGCCTGATATTAAAATGTAGTCATTCCCGATTACCATCAAGCCACAGTGTGTGTTTCTGTGGCTGTCAGTTGTCTGAAATGGCGGCTTGTGTATTTCCAGGAGCACTTGCCTCTCTACGGTTCCATTCCACATTTCAGAATTAATACAGCCGTACATGTCTGATCTGTCCAGGTATTTCACTGAATGTCAGAGGAGGGGGCTCTGACATCTAGGCACATGCTTGGCTTTCCTGGACTAATAGAAGACTTGCAAATGCCGCTCCCACAGCACAGTTAGACAGATCCAACTGCATGTTTACCTTGGTGTTTTATTTGGTTTTGAAACGGTTTTGGTATGGCAGCCTAGACTTGCGTGTACTTGCCATGTAACCCAGGCTGGCCTTGAACTCTCAGCAACGCCCCGTCAGCGTCCCATGCACGGGGACATTATGTATGTGCACCACTGCTCCTGACACCTTCAGATTGCTAATACCCCCTGCCTTGTTCAACCCCTAGTTTTCCTTCTATGGAAACCTGTCTCCACGGAGGTCACTGTACCGGACACTGTCTGATGAGAGTGTGTGCAGCAACCGGAGGGGCTCTTCCTTTGCCAGCTCTCGAAGCTCCATCCTGGACCAGGCCCTGCCCAACGACATTCTGTTCAGCACCACTCCACCCTACCACAGCACGCTGCCCCCAAGGACCCACCCTGCGCCCAGCATGGGGAGCCTACGGAGTAAGTGGAGGCGGGCCACCCTGGCTGCCTGGGTGGGCACATGGGATACCTGGGGTACATGTACTCTTCACGTTAGACGTCCCCAATGCACATGGGACGCCTGGGGTACATATGCTCTTCACGTTAGACATCCCCGGTGCACATGCGAGATTAGATAGCAGTTATTTGGCACTGTTTTCTTTGTCTTTTAAGTCATTTTTAAATAGCAAAACTGCAAGGTGGTTTACATTAGACGTTATTATCAAATACTGTTTTTACTTTATCTCCAAAGGAAGTGATATGTAACGTCTAACTTTTGCAAAAAGCACAGTGGCATGGGGTGAGTTTTCAGGTTGTGCCAAGCATTCAGCCCTCCCTTCTCATGGTCCTGGGTGGGGGGAGTGTTAGGAGACCGAGCTCCGACTTTATGACCCTCTGCATGTCTTCTCTATTTCCCTGTGCCCAGCTTCACCTGCACCCTGATCACAAGTCAAACTGATGATTGCCAAATCAAATCTTAAAACTATAATCTTTCGTGTCGTGTGTGTGTGTGTGTGTGTGTGTGTGTTTAGGGATGTACATCTGTAGAGGCAGTCTTTTACTGAACCCAGACTTTGCCATTTCAGCTCTCTTGGTTGCCCAGTGAGCCCTGGGATCTGCTGTGTTCTTTGCTGGCACTACAGTTACGAGCGTACATCAGCATGCGTGACCTTTACCTGGGTGCTGGGGATCCGAACTCAGGTCCTCATGTTTGCAGAGCAGGGGTTTAGACACTGGGCTGCCTTCCTAGTCCCAATGTGTGTGTTAGGTTTTGATACCTTTTTAATGTTAATTTCTGTGCCCTGCCCCCCCCCACTGCTATTGTGCAGAAAAGATAAGTTTAACTATAAATTAATATTAAGGTTGTTTTTTAAATTTTATCATAAAAAAGAACCATCTTTAGAACCAACTTAACTTCTGCACTGTATAAGCATCCCAAGTTATCTGACATAAAGCGTCTTAATAATGTTTAAGAAGCTTAGGGAGGACCTCATCTTGGGCAGTGCTTAATGTATCTCTTTAGGAGCATGGTACTTGCCTGTTGTAAGTCCCCTGAGTTTCTCAATAGAAGGACACACATTTATCGTGTTTGCCCGTCGTCCTCTGAATGTCATAGCCGCACATCCCCTTTTGAGACAGGGCCTCGTGTAGGTCAGGATGACCTAGTAAGTGTCTCTCAAGGCTTTGTGCAGCCACTGAAGTTCTGGTTTATGCCCTTATTTTTTCCTATTTCCCACACTGCAAATGGTCTGTGTTGCTGGATTTTCCATTCAACCCTTCTCCCCCCGCCCTGTGAGAAATGCAGTTTTTAGCTTCAATTTCTTTAAATAAATAATAATAATTAATAATAATAATGAACGACTTCACTTCTTAGACATGTTTTAGGTTCCCAGGATGAGCAGAGAATACAGTAGTTTCCATCCCATCCCCCACCCCACCACAAGCTGCATGGCACCTTGGTTACTGTAGAGCCCACTGACACATGGCTGTCAGCCAGGCCTTAGTTCTGGCTTAGTGTCCACGCTGCGCATGCTCTGTACGGGGGCAGTATGCGTGCCCACCCTCACAGCATGCCCAGATCTGCTTCACGGCCTTCAAAAGCCCAGTTCTTCAGTTTCCCTCCTGCCTGTCCACCTATAGCAAACATGGCTTCCCTGCTGGTTTTGTGGCCCTGTAATAACCTGTAGCTGGAATGTGTAAGCCTTTCATGCTGGCCTCTTTCCTGGCATTAACAGTTCAAGTTCTGTGCTTTTCCCTCTCCGAATGGCAGGTAGTTCATGCTTTGTCTGAATCCTTTCACATATGCCCATAGTATCAAGGCATAATGAGGGAAGAAGCAAGATGTGCCAAGTTCTTGTCCTTTCTTGAGGTGTCGTTGTTATTAGGTGTACTCTCATAAAACATCCTTGTTTGATAACGTGTCTCCTCGAGCCTTCAACTGCTCAGAACTCTGTTCTGGGATAGACGTGCAAACCTGTAATGTGTAACTGGATGTGAATAAGAATCTCCGCAAAAGCATGTAGTGACTTATCTTCCCCAAACACCTCTGATTCCCTTCTGGCTGCCCATGATCCAGCTGGAGAATGCTAGTTCCTGGTCCATGACCACCTCCAATATCTGTGTGACAGTTTCCATCTGTCCCGTCAGAATCCATTCATCCAGTGCCGCCCTGGTTGTTACACAGATTCCTCCCCCCAAAGGGACACACAGCCCTCTGAGGATGTGGCAGCATTCTGAACTGCTGCAGTCTGAACCCTGATCCCCAGAAGCAGGTCTCCAGTGGTGAACACCAAGGAGCACACGCCTGGGAAAACCTTTTAGATTCTCAGAGAAACAAACACTGGCATATGAAGACTTGGGGTGTCCATGTGATGTCTTCTAGCTTGGGTTGGTCTTTTTGCCAGATTGATCCAACCTTTTGACATCAGGACACAGCATTGTCATCTATAAAGTTCACACTCAAGAGCCATCTAGTCGAAGCTGTTGGGATGGCCCCTTAGCCTTTATAATAATACCAGTGACGTCAGACAGGGTCAGGATGGTGGAGTGATATTAGGGATCATGAGTTTGGTGTCTAGGGCTAAAGAGCATGTTGGGTGGGCAACAGGGCCTAGACACGAGCCACCCCTAAAATCTAGGTCCTCATGCAGTCAAGCATGCATGAAATTGCATGACTCTGTCCAGGTGAAGCTGAACATTGTCCACCTGCACCCAGAAATGCTTTCAGGCTAACCACACCCCTTCCGTTCTTCACCTCCTCGGCCCAGGAAGTGCTCCTGTCATAATCCTGTCCCCCTATTCTCCACATGCTTCATCTCATCTGACCCGAGTGTTACGTAGCACGGCCTTCTTGCCTCTGTGAGGAGCCAGACGCTATTCTAGGAGTCAGTCACGTGCTGCCGTAGGCTGTGTGGCTGTGCCCAGGGACCGGCAGCCAGGAGCCAGTCAGTACTGCCACCTAGCTGGTCACTTTCTCAATCTCTGAGGTGCCCCAAGGCTTTGAAGAGTTGCATTTGAAAGGATGGCTTTGGGTAGCCGTGGCAGAGAAGTCTTTTCTAGAAACCATCAAACCTGGAGAACAGAGCACATACTGAGTGTAATATCACAGACCTAGTGGTAACTCTTCCTTCCCGCCATAGCCAAACCACCAGACCATGGGTAGTGCTTACCTGCCAGCTCTGGGTCCACTGTCCTCTGACATGGTAACTGCTTGCTGGCTTCCCGGCATGGAGTCCAGTGATGTGTCTGTGTCAGTTAAAGACGGAACAGGTTTGAGTCTTCGGACATAAAGAATTTGAAAGGGCTTCTCTTGTTCTTAATGACCTCACTTCCACTCAGTGGAAGGAAAAGCTGTTAAGTGCACCTGATTTTGAGTATTGGAAAAGGCATATGTAGCACCTGAGTTATCTGAGAGACAGCCACTGCCTGTGGCTCTCCCTGCTCAGGTTGTCAGGCTGAGGTTCAAATCTCCCCACATTCATCCCAAGCCTTTCTGTCAGTAGTGTGTCAGAATGTCTGGCAGCTCCCCCCTGTCACTCGGATCTCAAGGAAGTGTCACCTCCTTAGACAGGACTCTGTCTCACAGCACCTCATCTAGCCTGGCCTTTTTAGAAGGTTCTGGAATCCCAGTGTGTATCTGTCTCCTAGAGACAGAGCCCGAGAGCTGAGCCCAGCCGTGTCCCAGATGGCCTGCTCTCAAGATGTGATGGAGCGGCCACTCTGTAAAGACAGCGCTGGAGGCCCCAGCCAGAGGGGACGTCTCACTGAGCAGGTCACTTGGTGGCTGTGCCTGTGCTCTCCTGTGAGCAGACTCCAGGGCTGACTGCACCGCACCTGTCTGCACCCCAGTCACTCGCATCATCTGCACCTCAGCACCGTGATTCTTAATTTGTACCTTGCCTTAGAAACAGAACTTGAATTTCTTAGCCCCAGACTGCCAGGTGGTTGTTTCCTTGAGTAATTGGGGGAGTGATCTTTCCACAGGAGGGTGTTAACTCTCACCCCACCTTCTCAGTTAGAACCACTGTCCCTTTACTCCTCCCATGGGCCTCCATCCCCTCCTTTATCATGCCAGCCAGCCAGCCACTGTCCCGATTAGTCTAACAACACCAGCCACAGTCTTCTTCCCAGCTCTGCCCAATGGCCTCTGCAGCGTACCACAGAGAAGGCCTCGCAGGAAGGGTCCAACAGTCTTGAGTGTTATCTTTCCCAGCCCGTGTTCCAGCCTTTGCTGCTGGCTTTGCACTTGACAGTAGCACAGTGCAGGCATGGACTGCTGATGTGTGCAGGGAGGGGCTGCCACAGTGTCCCCTCAGAGGAGACTGGTAGCACGTTGGCAGACATCCCCACATCGCAGCATGGTCGCCTGGAAACAGCACTGTCTGACTGGTGTCACTGTCACTGGGAGCAGACTGTGGTGTCCTTCAAGGCCACACACACAAAGTGATGCCTGTCCCATTCCAGATGCCAGCACCTCACAGCTTCCCGGAAGGATGGAGGGGCAAAAATCACAGGTGCATTTGCTTGATTACGCCCCTGAACTTAATTGCAGGTTCAGCCAGCCAGGTGGTCATTACTTTGATTGGTCTCATTAGTCAGATGCAGCCACAAGCAGCTGCATGCAACGCTCTGGGCAGGTTCAGAAAAGGCGCTTTGAAATCGTCCGGTCAGGCCCTTTCAGAACGGATTCTCAGATGCATAACGAGTTCTTAACAATGAGTGATATTAATGTCCTGGGCACTGAAGGAGCTGAGCGAGAGTTTGAGGAGAAAAGGAAAGGTGGGAAACTCACGTGCGCTGCGGAAGGAGAACTGTCCAGCGTTCCAGGAAGCGAGGGAGGGCCAGGGCTTCTGGTGTGGCAGCAGTCGGGCTGTTTTGGGAAGTCGGAAAAGTGGGCCCACAGTCGCATCTGCACATAGGTCATGAAGAGCCATCCTTTCTTCTCATCTTTAGTTGGAATAGTCTCACTACATTTGGGTGGGGAAAAAGGTCCTTGTGATGTCTGTAATGTTTACCTACTGTTCAGCTTTGCTGACCTTGTTCCTCAGACTTTGTAAGTCGTCAGGAAAGAGAGTGCTACCAGCCTGTCTCAAGGCGGTGTGGAGGTTGAGGCACATTTTAAAGGGGACAGCTGAGGAAGCAAGCAGGCTCTTACCCCAGGTCAGTGAGATTTGGGTACCTCCAGAAAGCTTCTGCGAGAGCGTGAAGTGAGGATGTTCTTCAGGGACCCGTGCTGGCGGCCCCTGCTTGCTCTCTACCATCTAGTCGGTCTCGTGTTGGCTTTTTATACCAAACCTCAATCTCTTTTGGGTAGTGGCAGCTTAATGTTTCCTAATGTAGCAGGACATGTTTTATATAACATCTTAGGCACCTTTGTGAGAGATGATGGAGGTCCCTGTGCTGTAGCCAACTCTATGGCGACTCTAGCAATCGCGCCATGACCGAGTGGGGGCTTGCTCTCCACTCTGACCCCAGGAGGATCGGCAGTGCTGTTGGAGTGGGGACAATGGTACCTCTGCAGGGACTGATGGACTAGCAGATGCAGGCTAGGGACTGATGGTGCTCATACTGAGTGACTGACTGTGAGGATGCTCTGGCTGGCTGACTGTGAGGACAGTGACTCATGGAATGACAGGTTGACTGATTCTAGACAGGGAGTGTGGTGCTCATATTGTGGGCAAGAGTGACTGTAGTCTTGCTGTGACCTACTATCTGACTGGCTCTGTGTGGGTAACAGTGTTCATGCTGTGACTGACCATGTACGGTGACTAGTGGGTAGACGAACTGACCACATTGGGTACTGCAATGCTTATATTGAGGTACTCTGTGGAATCTATGTTACCCTTGCTGTGACCAGCCAACTGACTGATTCTTTGTAAGGGTGTTAGTGCACTGACTGGCCTTCTGACCAACTCTTTGAGGGCAATAATACTCATGTTCTGACTGACAGACTAACGGACTGACAGAGTCTGGGGACCATGGTCCCCACGCTGTGACTCAGGGTGGAGACAGACTGACTTACACTCTGATTTTGTTTCTACTCAGATGAGTTCTGGTTCTCCGACGGGTCCTTATCGGATAAGTCCAAGTGTGCAGATCCTGGCCTGATGCCACTACCAGACACAGCCACAGGGTTAGATTGGTCCCACCTTGTGGATGCTGCACGAGCGTTTGAAGGTAAAGATGCACCCACACCCAGGGCCCCTCTGTGTGCTCAGCGAACATGCTCCTGCGGGGCCTGTACTGCAGCTTAGGAGCACATGTCTATGTATTGGATCCTCTGGCAAATGTTGAATGCTTTGCCCATCTTTGAAGATGAAGATAGGGAAGACATGGATCTAAGGAGGCATCTAGAGGTGGTCATGTCGTTTGGTGAATAGTGCTAGGCAGGGATTTCAAACCCTAAATTCTACTCCAGGCACCAACTGCCCCCTGACCAGGCAAGCCCCCTTTCCTCTTTGGCTCCATTGCCCTGTGTAGAAAGCATGCATGGTTGCCTAGTTCCTACTGTCTCTGTCCTTGAAACACACTAAGGTGACCTGGGAAAGCACCCTCATGAGGCTGAAGCTGCTGTGTTTGTTGGAACTGTGTTTGAAGCCTGCTGACTTGGTGCCAACATGAATGACTCTGGCAGGATGATTTGCCCCTTGCAAATCCCTCTACCAGTGTGGGTCTCAGCTTCTTCTAAGCTTCAAGGTCGGTGGATCAGTTAAGCCCATGGGTCAGTTAAGTGTGTAGGTCAGTGGGTTAGTTAAACCTGTGGATTGGTGGGCTGCAGAGGGTCAGTTAAGCCTGGTGGTCGGTGGGCTGTGGTGAGTCAGTTGTACTCTGAGAATCCTGGCTGCCATGCTGGTTTTGATCGCCATCAGTGCTGTGACTGTCTAGTTGAAGCTGCCACCTAGGGAATGTTCTTCTCCAGCTTATGGGGAACTATACACAAAGTCAATGAAGAAGCTGCTTCCCATGGTTTGGGCCTTGTGTGATGCAGGGCCACAACTCTTAGTTTCTGGCATTTGCCACTTGTATTATTTTTCTCATTGTTGTGACCAAATATCTGACAATAGCTTGTGGAAGGACAACCTGCTCTAGCTCATGGTTTGAGAGGTGCCGTTGAAGGCATGCTCATGGGCAAGCCGTGGCCATGGGAGTCGGCAGGAGATGTTCATTCCCATCTCAGCAGACCAGAGATGAAGGTGGGGCAGGTTGGATCCCATGTCCTTCATCTAGCGCGATCCCACCTCTTAAGTTTGCACACTGTCCCCAGGCCAGGCCCTGGCTGGGATGATGACACACATGCCCACGGGAACATTTTGCACGCAGGCCGGCACTGCAGCTTCCTTTCTGTCCGCGCCTTTCCCGGCAGATGAAGTGATGTGGGATTGTTTGTTGGGGTTGCCTTGCCTTCTGTCCACTGTGAGGCTGCCAGGCCTTCCAGCCCTAACAGAGTATGCTGTCCCTAGGGCTCAGAGCCACCATTGGCCCCTCACACCCGTCAGTTGCTTGTGGCTCTACGTCCCACCTGTGACATCGGCCACAGAAGGCCAAGGTCTGCTGCTGTGACCTCTTCTCTCCTCTTGTGGCCCGGCCTGCTAGAGCGGCCTCCTGTATGTCCATGCCCCTCGTGTGCATGTCTGCCGGGGGAGGGAGGGAGTTTGCTATTGAGACCGGACAGCTGAGAAGGGACACTCACACACAGGGACCGTGCCCTCTCTGCGTCCCCGCTAGTACATCACTCCCTTCTGGAAACATCTGAATAGTGTACATGTACTTGTTTGTGTCACTGTTAGAAGCCGCTAAGGGCGCTGGGGTAAAATGTCCTACTGGATTCAGACTTCAGCTCTCATGTTGATATACCACGCAGGTGGTACATCTGAAAACAGGTTTTTAAAGTGAAATTTACCAGCCTGTTGGAGTGATCTTAAATCGGCAGTCATAATGACAAGCAGAAGAACCTCACCGGATTGAACCCAACAGCTTTCCTTCATAGAAGAGGGTGCTCGGGGACCCCATCTGAGATCATCCAGCTGAATGTGGCCTTTTGGATGATAGAGCATATAAGGCGTGGAAGGGCGTGGGTGGGGTTCTTCAGTGATACAACTGCCTCTGGCTTGCACAGACGCCTCTATAAGTCACCCCCAGAAACTCATTGGCTCACCATGCTGCCTTGAATGGCGTCTTTTCTTTGGTTTGCCAGAGCTGTCTACATCTGGGATGAATAGATGTTTCTTTCCATTTCCTCAGGAAAACTTATCAAGCAGACACCACAATTCTTACTTAGAAAATCCAAACAGGAATTCCTCGCTGGCAGTCATGTGGTCCATCGACTTGCCTCCTTCATCCACCTTTAAAAGGCCATGTTCATCTTCCCTGAGCTAAAGCTTAGATTTTGTTGTGTTATTCAAGAGTAGAGCTGAGCACCAAACTCACCATCCCTTCCATTCCAGTTGTTTGAATGTGCGTAGATGTGATTAGTGTGAAGAGTGGGGGTGTTCCTGTGACCACAGAGGCGTCATCAGGAAGCTTGCCCAAGGCCACTCCACGAGTGCCCTCCAGAGAGAAACATTCCCAGACCTTGCTGACCACAGACAGGGAAAACAATTTGTCAAGAACACCAGAGCTGGAACTTGAGGTTGGAATTTTGGAGAGGTGTGAAATGTTACTCTGTAACCGCCCAAGAATTAAGGAATTTCCCCGTTCTCTTTCTGTGAGTAGTGATGAAGAGAGTGCCACCTGTGTCATAGAGAGCAGTTCTTAAAGACACACACAATGTTTTAGAAACATTTTAGTGAACAAGTATGAAAACTAACTTAACTATACTTCCAGAGATTCCCAAAATCTGAACATAGGGGCTGGGA